TTTCATTTCATATCCATTGTGGTGGTGTATAGAGCCAAAAATGTTAGAATTGTGTCGATGTCCCAATATTTATGGACCTGACTGTATATATTTATATATATATATATATATAATATATATATATATATTTATAAATAAAATATAGAAATATAAAAAAACTGGCCTTGTTTACAAGGTGCCGGACATGGGGTCAATGAGAAATAATTAGTGACAGGTCCTCTTTATGGAGAGATATGGGGTCAGTAAGACATAATTAGTGACAGGTCCTCTTTATGGAGAGATATGGGGGGTCAATGAGACATAATTAGTGACAGGTCCTCTTTATGGAGAGATATGGGGGGTCAATGAGACATAATTAGTGACAGGTCCTCTTTATGGAGAGATATGGGGGGTCAATGAGAAATAATTAGTGACAGGTCCTCTTTATGGAGAGATACGGGGTCAATGAGAAATAATTAGTGACAGGTCCTCTTTATGGAGAGATACGGGGTCAGTGAGACATAATTAGTGACAGGTCCTCTTTATGGAGAGATACGGGGTCAGTGAGACATAATTAGTGACAGGTCCTCTTTATGGAGAGATACGGGGTCAGTGAGACATAATTAGTGACAGGTCCTCTTTATGGAGAGATATGGGGGGTCAGTGAGACATAATTAGTGACAGGTCCTCTTTATGGAGAGATATGGGGACAATGAGACATAATTAGTGACAGGTCCTCTTTATGGAAAGATGTGGGGTCAATGAGACATAATTAGTGACAGGTCCTCTTTATAGAGAGATACGGGGTCAATAAGACATAATTAGTGACAGGTCCTCTTTATAGAGAGATACGGGGTCAGTGAGACATAATTAGTGACAGGTCCTCTTTATAGAGAGATACGGGGTCAATAAGACCCCACATCTCTGCTCTGCAATGTGAAGCATTAGATCCTTTTTTTTGGAACGTGACGTCGCTTCAGTCCTCCAAGGGCATAGAGATGGGTGGCGGCCATCTTTCCTACACTCATCTCAATGCCCAGTGACGGGACCGCTCGGTGGTTTCTCAGGTAGTACCCAGCAGTGGCGGGTGGTGGCAGAAGTGAGGTCATTTTCGGCATCTGTATTATTTTTATATCGGCCAACAGGAGTGTTTCGGTGCATCCCCAATATTTATTGTTGCATACACGTATATGGGAAATAGGAAGCCCGTCCTCCATGGATTCCACCTTCCAGAGTTCTTCTCTGCTCATATATTCCTTTCTTATCAAACAGCAACAGGCCGGATTAAGGGACCAAGGCAGACACTCCACCTAACATGGTACACGCCTGCTGGCACGGTTACAGTCTAGATATGTGCGTGTCATCTGCAGGAAACGACTTGAAGCATCTCTGAGCAGATAAAACTCAGCATACGTAGCCACCTTCTAATACTGAGGATCATAGATATCCCCAGACACACCATAACCTGCCTCACCATCTGATATGGTCCCAACTTGGCACCCAAGCCTAGCCCACCCTCCAGGACGAGTAGGCGCAAAAAAACTACATTCAGCAATAAACCGAGATGTAGCACTTGCTTGTTTATGGGTATCTGTAGATTGGTGTAACCAGAACTGTATGGCCCACGATGATGGAAATAAAAATTCGGATGGGGGCAGACCAGGAAGTCAAGCTCAGAGTTGGGCTTGTCCAGCCTTGAGTAGGTCTACAATCTTGTCCCTGACATCCTTGGACAGCTCTTTGGTCTTTGCCATGGTGGAGAGTTTGGAATCTGATGGTTTGATTGCTCCTGTGGACAGGTGTCTTTTATACAGGTAACACAATGAGATTAGCAGCACTCCCTTTAAGAGACTGCTTCTAATCTCAGCTTGTTACCTGTATGAGAGACACCTGGGAGCCAGAAATCCTGCTGAATGATAGGGGATCAATTGAATGATCATCGCCCAATTCGTATTCAGTTTTGAGTGAGGTTATACTTTGACGGAGCAGCCACCCAATAGCAGTTTATCTGGTGCGATTTATAAATGGCATTGGGTAAATAATGGACCACCGATCCACCATTAAAAGATGGACCCTTGTAGAAGAGGGGTTAAAGCAAGGACCTAACAAACAGTTTTACTTCTATAGGGTGCTTCAACTATGGCTTACCAAAGACTCAGGTGATGCTCTTGGCCAAGTGAAAATTCCATCGCCATAACAAATTCCCAATTCTGCCGAAACTATAAATCCAATGTGTGACGGGAGTGACTTTGGGTGGGGGCATGTCTACTCAAACTCAGGACATTCCACCCTGTACCCCTAACAGGCACAGGGTGACTTACACATAATAGGGATATGGGGAGCCGAGACAGGGGTCTCCCCACCTCTCCGAAGTGAGCTGTGTTCCATTGGCCCCTCACCCAAAGCCACTCCCGTCACACAATGACACGCTAATTTTAGGTAGAGTTGTCCTTAAAAGGCTTCCAGGTGGACTTACTTTGGTACATAACTAGGTAGATCAGCGGTTCGGAGTTCACTGGATGAAAGCTTGGTACGGGTCAGTGACTCCCAATGTACCGATCCAGAGATTACCAGACTAGCCATTTTACGTTAGCAATGGATGCTTTTACAGCCCATCTCCAAAAAAATTTGCCACCCACCCCCAGCTCCATGCGTCCTCCCCGCCCAACTATTGAGAACTTTTCCTCTCAGTCCACCATCCATGTGCTTGTCCATTGCCTCTTCTAGGAATGGAAAACGGCCATTCAGTGCTGGAGACCAGGAGCTCTTGTGACAATACTCGACTGAAATCCTCTGCGGCCTAAACCGTCCAGCGACTGGGAGGTCAGGCCCTACCCCTCTGCAGTCAAGAATATAGAAGACTCTTGACCCGGTGCGTCTCGCCATCAAAGATTCAAATAAGTATTCAGGGAGTTCTTTTAGAATGAATCCTAGCGATCTGTTGAGATGGGGTGAGAGTGGCCAGTTTGGACCATACATTTTTCCAGACCTAACTAGGTTCTCAGAGCTCCAACATGTAGTGGAAACACAATCACGCTCATCCAGCCTTCACCATGATATATACGTACAATCTGTGCCCTGCACCCGACTCATAACCCATCACCGCCTAATAGCAGGACATCAAGGAGCAAGAAGGTCCTGACATGCCTGTCTCAACATTTTACCCTTGAGGATCCCACCAAAAAAGTCTCGGAATAATACACAGAAAATAAACACAAACAATGAAAGATGTAATGTGCTTACGAAAGGACCAGTGTGGAAGTGCCCCCTCATACTGGTGGTTAGTAGAGAGGTGCCCCCCTACACTAATGGTCAGTGGAGAAGTGCCCTCCTAAAATGGTGGCCAGTGAGGAAATGCCCCATACATTAGTGGTAAAGCAGTGCAACCTTATGTTGGTGGTCAGCGAAGAAGTACAGTCAACAAAGATGTCCACCTACAATAGTGGTCAGTGGAGAAATGCCCACTCACAATTGGTGGCCAGTAGAGAAAAGCCCTCCAACATTGGTGGTCAGTGAGAAAAAGTGCCCCCTTACCTTGGTCAGTGGAGCAGTGCCCTCTCAAACTGATGGCCAGTAAAGAAATACCATTCCAACCCCCCTTTTATATTAGTGGTCAATGGAGAAATGCACTCTGTTGGGTGGCCAGTGTAGAGATGCCCCCTACACTGGTGGCCAGTAGAGAAATGCCCATCATTGGTGGTCAGTAGAGAAATGCCCACCATCATTGGTGGACACTGAAGAAGTGCCCTCTTGTACAATGGTGGTTACAGAAACGTCAACCCACATTAGTGGTATGGGGAGAAGAACAGGACTCTCACATTAGTGGTCACAGCCCTCCTACATTGGTCAGAAGAGCAGTGCCCTCTCAAATTGATGTCCATTAGAGAAATGCCCCTCCTTTACATTAAATGGTCAATTGAGAAAATCCTTCACATTGGTGGCCATTAGAGAAATGCCCCCCCTACACTGGTGGTAAGTGAGAAAGTGCCTTCTTACAAGAGTGGTCAATAGAGAAATGTCCTCTACGTTAGTGGTCAGTGGAGAAATCCCCCCCTCTCCTTTATATTAATGGTCAATTGAGAAAATCACTCAAACATTGGTGGCCAGTAGATAAGTGTCCCCCTACACTGGTGGTCAGTGAGGAAGTGCCTTCTTACAACGGTGGTCAGTAGAGAAATACCCCCTCCCCCATTATATTAGTTGTCAATGGAGAAATGCACTCTCATAATTGGTGGCCAGTAGAGGAATGACCCATTACATTGGTGGTCTATGGAGAAGTGGCGGTGAATGCAGAAATGTCCCCCTACACTAGTGGTTAATGGAGAGATGCCTTCTCACATTGGTGGCCAACAGAAGAATGCCCCTCTGCGTTGGTGGTCAGAGAATAAGTGCCTCTTTAACCACTAGCCTACCGGGCACTTTCTACGCTTCCCCTTCCTGCCTACAGGACACTTCTACCCCCTTCCTGCCTACAGGGCGCTTCTACCCCCTTCCTGCCTACAGGGCGCTTCTACCCCCTTCCTGCCCCACGGGCGCTTCTACCCCCTTCCTGCCCACCGGGCGCTTCTACCCCCTTCCTGCCCACCGGGCACTTCTACCCCCTTCCTGCCTACAGAGCACTTCTACCCCCTTCCTGCCAGGCCAATTTCCAGCTTTCAGCTATGTCGCACTTTGAATGACAATTGCGCGGTCATGCAACACTGTACCCATATGAAATGTTTATCATTTTTTTGTGACAGATAGAGCTTTATTTTGGTGGTATTTAATCACCTCTACAGGGGGTTTTTATTTTTTCTTAAACAAACCAAAAACCACTGAAAATTTTGAAAAAAAAAAAGTTAACCCATTTTTTTTCTTTTTTTTTTATTATACAATTTTGTAAATAAGGGATTTTTTTTCTCCTTCACTGATGTGCGCTAATGAGGCTGCAGTGATGGGCACTGATAGGCTGCACTGATGGACACTGATAGGTGGCACTGGTAGGTTGCACTGATGGGCATTGACAGGCATCACTGATGGGCACTGAAAGGCAGCATTGATACATGACACTGATATATGGCACTGATAGGCGACACTGACTGGCATTGATAGGTGGCACTGATTGGCAGCTCTGATAGGTGGCACTGATTGGCATTGATAGGTGACATTGAAAGGCAGCTCAGATGGGCACTGATATGTGGCATTGATGTGCACTGGCACTGATGAGCACTGACTGCTAGCACTTATGGACACTGACAGGTGGCACTTCTGGGGCCACACTGATCATCAGGGCACACTGATCATCAGTGCCCTGATGATCAGTGTACATGTCCCCTCCGCAGAAAGCCGATTACCGGCTCTCCTCTGTCAGCCTGACAGCACGAGAGGAGTGAAATGCATATAGCCGGCATTTCCGTGTTTACATGTGATCAGCTGTGATTGGACACAGCTGATCACATGACCGAGCCGACATCTTCGTCTCTTTCCGTGATCCGTTGTGTCCGAGGGACACAGCGCACCAGCGATCGCCGCGCAGCGCGCTCCCTGAGCCGCGCATGCGCGGTGTGAATGGAAGGACATCATATGACATCCTATCAGAAAGAGAGAACCGCCTTGCACCTGTCATTGGACTATATGGCGGGCAGAAGGTGGTTCAACTGAGGATCAGTAGAAAAGCACTACCTTGCATTAGTGGTCCCTTATCATTGCTGGTCAGTGCAGAACTCACCCCTACACTGGATATCAGTGGAACATTCTTCCTCTAAGGGGAACACGTGGGAGATAAACCTGCCACAGCTCAAGGAACCCCACAAGAGTTCAGTGCAAGCTGTGAAGAAGCAGAATTACTAACTTATAGAATGTGCAGAAAGAACCTCAGAAGACTAAGAGGAAACCCCCCCCCCCCCCCATACCAAAAACACTGCAACAATGCCTACAGCTGAGAAATACTAAATTATTATTATTATACAGGATTTATGGCGCCAAAAGTTCTCTCAGCGCTTTACAATATAACGGGAGACAATACAGCAACAATACAGTTCAATACAAGAGGGATAGGAGGGCCCTGATCCTGGGAGCTTACAATCTAGGAAGGAGGGGCTAGTGGTACAAAAGGTAATAACTGTGGGGGATGGACTGGTTGGAAGAGTAAAAGATCCCAGTATTAGCTGAGGGCAGGATAGGCTTCCCTGAAGAGATCGCCTAAAAGTGAGCAGAGTAGGCGATAGTCTGATAAATTGGGGTAGAGTTCCAGAGGATGGGGGAAGCTCTGGAGAAGTCCTGGAGACTAGCATAGGAGGAGGAGACAAGGGAGCTAGAGAGCAGGAGGTCTTGTGAGGAGCGGAGAGTACGGTTTGGGTGGTATTTGGAGACAAGATTGGCTATGTAATTTGGGGCGGAGTTATAAATGGATTTATACATTATTGTTAGTGTTTTAAATTTTATCCGTTGGGCAATGGGAATCCAGTGGAGGGATTGGCAGAGCAGGGTGGAGGACACTGAGTGGAGGCCAGTGGAGGGATTGGCAGAGAGGGGTGGAGGACACTGAGTGGAGGCCAGTGGAGGGATTGGCAGAGAGGGGTGGAGGACACTGAGTGGAGGCCAGTGGAGGGATTGGCAGAGAGGGGTGGAGGACACTGAGTGGAGGCCAGTAGAGGGTTTGGCAGAGAGGGGTGGAGGGCACTGAATAGAGGCCAGTGGAGGGATTGGCAGAGAGGGGTGGAGGACACTGAGTGGAAGCCAGTGGAGGGATTGGCAGAGAGGGATGGCAGATATGGAACGGTTAGTGAGGTGGATGAGTCTGGCAGCAGCATTCATGATAGACTGAAGAGGGGATAGCCTGCAATGAGGTCAGCCAATGAGGAGGGAGTTACAATAGTCAAGGTGAGAGATAACCAGGGAGGGAATAAGTTGCTTAGTGGTTTCCGAGGTTAAGAACGGGCGTATCTTGGAGATGTTGCGGAGGTGAAGTCTACACGATTTGGACAGTGATTGGATTTGGGGCTGAAAGGACAGATTGGAGTCCTAGGATGACACCTAGTACCCTGGCGTGAGGGGAGGGACTGATGGTTGTATTATTGATCTTGATGGAGAAGTCGGGGGAGGGGCAAGGGATGGGGAGGAATACTAAGAGCTCAGTTTCGGAAAGATTGAGTTTGAGGAAGTGGAGTGACATCCATGCCGATATGTCACTTAGTAGGTTAGTAATGCGAGAGGAGACTGAAGGGGTGAGGTGAGGAGGAGACTGAAGGGGTGAGGTGAGGAGGAGGTGAAGGGGTGAGCTGAGGGGTAGAGAGATAGATTTGTGTGTCATCAGCATAGAGATGGTACTTAAAGCCATGGGAGTTTATCAAGTGACCAAGGGAGGAGGTGTAGATGGAGAACAGTAGGGGCCCAAGAACAGAACCTTGAGGGACTCCTACAGAAAGAGAGAGTGAAGAGGAGGAGCCAGAGTTATAAGTAACGCTGAAGGAGCGCTGCAATAGGTAGGAGGAGAACCAGGAGAGAGCAGAGTCTCGGAGGCCAAGAGAGGAGTTGAGGAGGAGGGGATGGTCAACCGTATCAAAAGCCGCAGAGAGGTTGAGTAGTAAGAGTACAGAGTAGTGGCCATTGGTGGGGATGAGTACGGAGTAGTGGCCATTGGTGGGGATGAGTACGGAGTAGTGGCCATTGGTGGGGATGAGTACGGAGTAGTGGCCATTGGTGGGGATGAGTACGGAGTAGTGGCCATTGGTGGGGATGAGTACGGAGTAGTGGCCATTGGTGGGGATGAGTACGGAGTAGTGGCCATTGGTGGGGATGAGTACGGAGTAGTGGCCATTGGTGGGGATGAGTACGGAGTAGTGGCCATTGGTGGGGATGAGTACGGAGTAGTGGCCATTGGTGGGGATGAGTACGGAGTAGTGGCCATTGGTGGGATGAGTACGGAGTAGTGGCCATTGGGTTGGGATGAGTACGGAGTAGTGGCCATTGGTTGGGATGAGTACGGAGTAGTGGCCATTGGTTGGGATGAGTGGCCATCGGAGTAGTGGCCATTGGTTGGGATGAGTACGGAGTAGTGACCATTGGTTGGGATGAGTAGTAGTGGCCATGGTTGGGATGAGTACGGAGTAGTGGCCATTGGTTGGGATGAGTACGGAGTAGTGGCCATGGTTGGGATGAGTACGGAGTAGTGGCCATGGTTGGGATGAGTACGGAGTAGTGGCCATTGGTTGGGATGAGTACGGTGTAGTGACCATTGGTTGGGATGAGTACGGAGTAGTGGCCATTGGTTGGGATGAGGAGTAGTGGATGGAGTGACGGAGTAGTACGGTGTAAGGTGTAGGCCATTGGTTGGATGATGAGTACGGAGTAGTGGCCATTGGTTGGGATGAGTACGGTGTAGTGACCATTGGTTGGGATGAGTACGGTGAGTATTGGTTGGGAGAGTAGTGGCCATTGGTTTTTAGCAGTTAGTAGATCATTAGTGAGGATAAGCAGGGCAGTTTCATTGGAGTGTAGTGAGTGAAAGCCAGACTGTAAAGGGTCAAGAAGGTTGCTGTCAGTGAGGTGGGAGCTCAGGTGATTGCAGACTAAGCGTTCTAGGAGTTTAGAGGTAAATGGCAGCAGGGAGATGGGTCTTAAGTTGTTCAGGTTGGTGGGGTCCAGAGAGGGCTTTTTAAGTATGGGAGTGATGTGCGCATGCTTTAGAGGGGAGGGGAAGGTGCCAGTAGAGGGAAAGATTGAAGATGTGAGTGAGAGAGCATAGGATGGAAGAAGAGGGTGACCATAGTAGTTGTGAGGGGACAGGATCCAGGAGGCAGGTAGTAACACGGGCTTCTGAGAAAACCTTAGTGACCTCTTCGGTAGCAGCGAGGTCCAAAGAGGAAAGTGTTGAGGGAGGTTTAGTATAAGATATGCTAAGTGGGATGGATGTCTGTGCAGTGGAGATGCCCTTACTAATTGCATCAATCTTGATTTTGAAATGATTTGCAATCTCGTGAGCAGTGAGTGAGGTACTGGGTGGAGGTGGAGAAAGTAGAGAGTTAAAAGTAGAGAAGAGACGACAAGGACTGGATGACAAGCTATTGATGAGAGTGACAAAGTAGGCTGGTTTGGCAGCATGAATTGAGGAACTGTATGTGAAGAAAGCTGATTTATATCGGGTGAATGCTTGCTGGGATTTGGTTTTACGCCACAATCACTCCAGCGCACGACTATGTTGTTTAAGATTTCTGGTGCCGTCAGTCTGCCAAGGTTGTAATGGTCGGGGCCTGATTCTTCGTGTTAGAGGAGCAAGCGAGTCTAATATGGATGAAAGCGAACTGTTGTAGACAGCAGTGGCCAGGTCAGGCAGGACAGGGGAGAGATTCTGTCATAGAGGTGGTCAGTTGCAGAGTGGAAAGGAGCCGGGTTCAAGTTGTGGAGGTTTCTGCAGGTAATTGTTTGCTGCTTGGAGGGATAGGTGTTTGAAGACCAGGACACTGTGAAGGTGATGAGATTGTGATCAGAGAGAGAAAAGGGGGTGTTTGTGAGGTTTTAGGGAGTGCAAAGATGGGAGAAAACAAGGTCCAATGTATTCCCATCAGAGTGAGTGGAGGACCATGGAGGACTGTGTCCATCAGAGTGAGTGGAGGACCATGGAGGACTGTGTCCATCAGAGTGAGTGGAGGACCATGGAGGACTGCGTCCATCAGAGTGAGTGGTGGACCATGGAGGACTGTGTCCATCAGAGTGAGTGGAGGACCATGGAGGACTGTCCATCAGAGTGAGTGGAGGACCATGGAGGACTGTGTCCATCAGAGTGAGTGGAGGACTGTATACATTGTGCTAATGCAAAAGATGAGGTTAGGTTGAAGAGTTGGGATGTAGCCGGGTTGTTGACATTAATGGGGATGTTAAAATCTCAGAGAATGATAGTTTGTAGTTCAGAGGAGAGAAAGTAGGGTAGCCAGGCAGAGAAATCATCAAGAAAGCGGGACACCGGTCCAGGAGGCCGATAGAGCACTGCAATCCTCAGAGAAAGCGGGGAAAACAGCCGGAGGCAGTGAGTCTCGAAAGAAGAGATGTTAATGTTAATTTGTGGTTTAATAATAGAATGTTCCAAAACAGGAAGAGAAAACTCAAGAATATCTGTTCCGTTCTCATCTACTTCCTCTGCTGCAATTTCTGGCCTTGGTCACAGTGTGACCGGGTCACGTACCAGTGAACCTGCAAACCGTCCGTTCTGAGCAAATCGCAGGTCTACTGGTCACCAGATGGGGGTAAAGCACATCTAAATTCGGGAAACAAAAATGTAATATATTGCAGAGTACCGGCCCTTACATTACTTGAGATGCCTCTATTACCTCTCTTTATTCATGCTTGTTCTCCTTTATTTTCACTTGGTGATCGTGCCAGTAACACTTCCTCTCTTCGGGTGACAACACTTCTCCATAATAAATCAAAAAGAAACCAGACAGGAATACAAACCCTGCCCCCTTCCATTCAACATAAAATAGAGGAGCAGCACTCTAAAGTCCTCAGATACAAGTCAAAACACGGGAAGTTATTCGCTTTCAAGATTTCTGGCAGGAGCAACGGTATTTTCTAACTTTAAAACAATAAAACCCTTTAAATGGTATACTGGAGCAAATCTTGACTATTTTGGGAAGGGGGTGGGGGTAGATACACTTTAAATCTGACAAGCTCCTAATTTTCCCTGCTCACCTGCCAAAAAAAAAAAAAAAAAAAAAAAGGGAATTCCCCAGGTATGAGGAGAAGACTAGGACTCTCACTCCTGCCTCTTACTATGCAAAGCTCTGTACCCAGGTAGCCAGTTGGAAGGTATAACCATTGTCACATGAAGGCAAAAAGGAGAAGATCCTTGGCTCGACAAGGTCGCATGAAGGCAGAAGGAGCCCAACACTGTCCCCATGGAGAGGTTCCTTTGCCCAACACTGTCTCCCATGGAGAGGTTCCTTAGCCCAAACATGGAGTGGATCCTTAGCCCAACACTGTCCCCCATGGAGTGGATCCTTAGCCCAACACTGTCCCCATGGAGAGGATCCTTAGCCCAACACTGTCCCCCATGGAGAGGATCCTTAGCCCAACACTGTCCCCCATGGAGAGGATCCTTAGCCCAACACTGTCCCCCATGGAGAGGATCCTTAGCCCAACACTGTCCCCCATGGAGAGGATCCTTAGCCCAACACTGTCCCCCATGGAGAGGATCCTTAGCCCAACACTGTCCCCCATGGAGAGGATCCTTAGCCCAACACTGTCCCCCATGGAGAGGATCCTTAGCCCAACACTGTCCCCCATGGAGAGGATCCTTAGCCCAACACTGTCCCCCATGGAGAGGATCCTTAGCCCAACACTGTCCCCCATGGAGAGGATCCTTAGCCCAACACTGTCCCCCATGGAGAGGATCCTTAGCCCAACACTATCCCCCATGGAGAGGATCCTTACCAACACTGTCCCCCATGGAGAGGATCCTTAGCCCAACACTGTCGCATGGAGAGGATCCTTAGCCCAACACTGTCACGAGGAGGCAGAAGAAAAAGATCCTTGGCACGACATTGTCATGTGAAGACAGAAGGAAAAATGCTTAGTCTTATATTTTCACGTGGATGTAGAAGGAGAAGATCCTTGGCCCGAAGTTGTCACATTAAAGCAGGAGGAGAAGATCCTTAGCCAGAACAAGAGGATCCTTAGCCTGGCACTGTCACATGGAGGAAGAGCATCTTTAGTCTAATCATCACATGAAGGCAGAAGGAGAAGATCCCTAGCAGAACACTGTCACATGGAGGCAGAAGATCCTCAGCCAGAAATGTCATATGGAGGAAGGCACAAAAGATCCTAAGCCCAACATGGTCACATGGAAGCAGAAGAACCTTAGCCCAACATGGTTACAAGAAAGCAGAAGAACCTAAGCCCAATATGGTCACACGGAGGAGGAAGAGGATCCTAAGCCTGACACTGTCACACGGAGGCAGAGAGATGGTCTAAAGCCCGACACGGTCACACGGAGGCAGGAGAAGATCCTACGTCCCAACGTAGGCAGAAGGAAAAGTCTAAGCCCACACTGTCAGGCAGAAGGAAAAGATCCTAAGCCCGACACGGTCACACAGAGACAGGAGAAGATCCTAAGCCCGACACTGTCACGCACAGGTAGGAGAAGATCCTAAGCCCGACACGGTCATGCAGAGGCAGGAGAATATCCTAAGCCCCACATTGCCACATGGAGGCAGAAGGAGAAGATCCTTAAGCCCAACATGGTCACGCAGAAGAAGATCCTAAACCCGATACGGTCACACGGAGGCAGAAGGAGAAGATCTTAAGCTCGACACAGGGTCACACGGAGGCAGGAGAAGATCCTAAGCCTAACATAGTCACACGGAGGCAGAAGAAAAAGATCCTAAGCTCGACACTGTCACACGGAGGCAGAAAGAAAAGATACTAAGCCAGGCACGGTCACACGGAGGCAGGAGAAGATCCTAAGCCCGACACGGTCACACAGAGGCAGGAGAAGATCCTAAGCCCGACACGGTCACACAGAGGCAGGAGAAGATCCTAAGCCCGACACGGTCACATAGAGGCAGGAGAAGATCCTAAGCCCGACATAGACGGTCACATGGAGGCAGGAGAAGATCCTAAGCCCGACACGTTGTCACACAGAGGCAGGAGAAGATCCTAAGCCCGACACAGTCACACGGAGGCAGAAAGAAAAGATCCCTAAGCCCGACACGGTCACACAGAGGCAGAAGGAAAAGATCCTAAACCCGACACAGTCACACAGAGGCAGGAGAAACATCCTAAGCCCGACACGGCACATGGAGGCAGGAGAAGATCCAAAAATTCTATTCTCAGTAACCATACACAGACAGAATGCATTTGTAAATTAACAATGGAAAGGTGTTACCTTCTGTAGCTGCAATCCCCAACCGGCACCTCACTCCAGGCACAGCAAAGACAGTAAATATGAGAAAAAGTTTCTCACCTTAGGCGCCTGTGCTGTCCCCCCTGTTGTGGGGTGTGAGCCGGAGGTGGAGATGCAGTCAAGAAGACACGATTCGGGGTCACCAATGTTATGTACGCCTTTTCAATGAAGGACATCAAGGCCAATTCTGTTGCATTCGTCTGATATAAGTTTACTGAAGAAATACAATGTACATTGGATCACAGAGCATGCAGAGTCAATGTGATACAAATGGATACATGAGTGGATGTTTTATAGGAAACCTTCAACATGGTTTTCAATCTAGGGCATAAGACCAAATCACGAGAAATTCCTAACTAATGGTCTCAACACCAGATGTGGTCACACTGACTTCTTGGACACAAGTAAAGGTTACTTGTCATAATAACTCAAACTAGGATTATGCAAAAAGGGACTTTTTAATCAAAATAGCAATTTCTGAGAAATGGTCTTGACAATGTCCAGCAAACCATTTCTGGATAAAAGCAACCACAGATGTCCCAACAATAACAAGATTATAACATACCAGAAGAATTCAGAAAAAAACAGTTATCGAGGAACTCTTGATATAGAAATGATATGATGATCTGACTCCATATTGTTCACATCTTTACAGAAGCAGAAGATCTTTAGCAAGAAATGGTCACATGGAGGCTGAAGAAGAGGATCCCTGGTCTAACATGGTCACATGGTGGCAGAAGGAGAAGATCCTTAGCCCAACATGGTCACATAGAAGCAGAAGATCTTTAGCAAGAAATGGTTACATGGAGGCTGAAGAAGAGGATCCCTGGCCTAACATGGTCAAATGGTGGCAGAAGGAGAAGATCCTTTGCCCAACATGGTCCTATGGAAGCAGAAGATCTTTAGCCAGAAATGGTCACATGGAAGCTAAAGAAAAGGATCCCTAGTCTAACATTGGCACATGGTGGCAGAAGGAGAAGACCCTTAGCCCACCATGGTCATGTGGAAGCAGAAGATCTTTAGCCCGAAATGGTCACATTGAGGCTGAAGAAGAGGATCCCTGGCCTAACATGGTCACATGGTGGCAGAAGGAGAAGATCCTTAGCCCAACATGGTCACATGGACTTGCAGCTTCCATTTAAAACACTCCCTGGTGATCCTGCCTTGAAGGACCTTGCTTAGGCACTTCCTGCTATGGGGTGACCACCATCTCTCAAGTGCTACCTTGAATTGTCACATGAGCCCCTGCTCACACGCATTGTGCAGGCCATGGTCACTATCAGGAAGTGGGCTGAAACAGGCTAGAGGAGATCAGCAGCACTAAGATGGGGGAAAGGATTTAAATTTTTTTTTACATAATGAAAAACAGGATTTATGGCAGTTTACGACATACATAGGGTTCAGATCTCATTTCAGGGTATGGTCAGCATGCAGGAAAGCTTCGCTCTCCACGGTAAACTGGTAGAATGGTTTCCATAAAGGATGGAGCACTAGAATAGAGATGTATTGCTTGGTTCAAAATAATCATTTTATTAAAGGCTGCAGCAGGTTTGTAGACGGGGATGGAAAGATTTAACATCCGAGACATATAGGAAACCATTATGTGGTTACCGGAACGATTGTCTGAGGTTCAGTAACATCACCCATCTGATGAACCCACAGTCCCAGCATGACTGGGTTACGTAAAGAGCTCAGCTTTAAAGCGGAACTCCAGGGAAATGTCAAGGTTAGCCTTGCAGTAGGCCTCTCTCTGTTCTGCACGGATTAGGGCCCTATCACCCGGGCGTTCCGTATGTCTGTATTTCATCTGTCAGTTTACGGATGAACAACGGACCCCCCATGTATTTCTATGGACTATCGGATGTAAACGGATGATCTGTTTACATCCGTTTAACATCAGTTTTTTTGAACAGAAGAAAACCCTATTTTTCTTCTGTTAAAGAAACTGGAATGGATGAAAAAACTGACAAAAAAAAGACTGAAAAATTGATGTAAACAGATGAAAAACATAAAAACGGTCGAAGAAATGGCTGAAAACCAGATGAAAAAAACGTATATAAACAGATGAAAACCAGACCAAAAAAAACGTATATATAAACAACAGGTGAAAACCAGACGAAAAAACGTATATAAACACATGAAAACCAGATATATAAACACACGAAAACCAGAAGAAAAAACATATATATAAACAGACGAAAACCAGACGAAAAAATGGATATAAACAGATGAAAAAAGGATCTAAAACAGCCAAAAAACGGGTATAAACAGATGAAAAAAAAGGATATAAAACAGCCAAAAAAAGCCAAAAAAACGGGTAAAAAAAAAAAAAAAAAAAAAAACAGATATAAACAGAAGAAACTACTAGTTATAAAAAGAGAAAAGAACGGGATATAAAAAGACAAAAAAAAAACAAAAAATAAAAAAAAAAAAAACCGATATAAGACAAAAAACAGATGGAAAAAATGGATAAAAACCAGACTAAAAAACAGCCGAAAAAAATGGATATAACAGATGAAAAAAAAAAACAAAAAACACCGAAAAAAATAGATAAACTGACGAAAAAACGGATACAAACAAATGAAAAAAACTGATATAAAAAGCCAAAAAAAGATATAAATAGACAAGAAATGGATATAAATAGATGAAAAACCGGATATAAAAAGGACGGAAAAAAAATGGGTATAAAAAGACGAAAAAAAAAAAAAAAAACAGACGGGAAAAACAGATGCAAAACTGATTTAAACAGACAAAAAACAGATAAACAGATGAAAAACCAGATATAAATAGACGAAAAACCTGATCTAAAAAAGATGGGAAAAAAATACCGGATATAAAAAGACAAAAAACAGACAGAAAAATAGACGAAAAAAATGGATATAAACAGATGGAAAAACTGATATAAGCAGACGGAAAAACGGATATAAGCAGACGGAAAACCAGATGCCTGCCAGGTAGACCAGGTATGAGCTGGCATTACTTACACCAAGTAATATAACAATGAATGTGTTGAACCCGGCCGCACTACTGCCTGCCTGACCCACCAGAGGAGTGGGAACATGACTAATAGTGAGACAGAGGCCTAGTATGAGCTACCGGGGACAGTGACACAGATGAGGCTCTGGAAAACCCAGACATGGAATTATGGGCAGATGGTTCCCGATACTACACAGAAAAGGGTTCACTTGTTACAGGAATGGCCATAATAGATCAAGAAGAAAGTGGTATTCCAGGAAGCTTTGCCAAACCATTTTTCGGCGCAAGTGGCCGACTTGGAAGCAGTGACAAAAGCATGCCAGATAGCAGATGGTAGATCAGTCAATATATACACCGACTCACGTGATGCCTTTGGGGGTGGGGCATGATTATGCAGCATTGTGGAGAATTGGAATTATTTAACCTCCCAAGGTAAAACCTATAAAGAATGCTGCTCAGATAAGGCCTCGCTGGGAGCCATCAGAGAACTGGCCTCGCTGGGAGCCATCAGAGAACTGGCCTCGCTGGGAGCCATCAGAGAACTGGCCTCGCTGGGAGCCATCAGAGAACTGGCCTCGCTGGGAGCCATCAGAGAACTGGCCTCGCTGGGAGCCATCAGATAACTGGCCTCGCTGGGAGCCATCAGATAACTGGCCTCGCTGGGAGCCATCAGATAACTGGCCTCGCTGGGAGCCATCAGATAACTGGCCTCGCTGGGAGCCATCAGATAACTGGCCTCGCTGGGAGCCATCAGATAACTGGCCTCGCTGGGAGCCATCAGATAACTGGCCTCGCTGGGAGCCATCAGATAACTGGCCTCGCTGGGAGCCATCAGATAACTGGCCTCGCTGGGAGCCATCAGATAACTGGCCTCGCTGGGAGCCATCAGATAACTGGCCTCACTGGGAGCCATCAGATAACTGGCCTCGCTGGGAGCCATCAGATAACGGCCTCGCTGGGAGCCATCAGATAACTGGCCTCGCTGGGAGCCATCAGATAACTGGCCAACAGATAACTGGCCTCGCTGGGAGCCATCAGATAACTGGCCTCGCTGGGAGCCATCAGATAACTGGCCTCGGATAACTGGCCTCGCTGGGAGCCATCAGATAACTGGCCTCGCTGGGAGCCATCAGATAACTGGCCTCGCTGGGAGCCATCAGATAACTGGCCTCGCTGGAAGCCATCAGATAACTGGCCTCGGGAGCCATCAGATAACTGGCCTCGCTGGGAGCCATCAGATAACTGGCCTCGCTGGGAGCCATCAGATAACTGGCCTCGCTGGGAGCCATCAGATAACTGGCCTCGCTGGGAGCCATCAGATAACTGGCCTCGCTGGGAGCCATCAGATAACTGGCCTCGCTGGGAGCCATCAGATAACTGGCCTCGCTGGGAGCCATCAGATAACTGGCCTCGCTGGGAGCCATCAGATATCAGATAACTGGCCTCGCTGGGAGCCATCAGATAACTGGCCTCGCTGGGAGCCATCAGATAACTGGCCTCGCTGGGAGCCATCAGATAACTGGCCTGCTGGAAGCCATCAGATAACTGGCCTTTCTGGGAGCCATCAGAGAACTGGCCTCGCTGGAAGCCATCAGATAACTGGCCTTGCTGGAAGCCATCAGATAACTGGCCTCGCTGGAAGCCATCAGATAACTGGCCTCGCTGGAAGCCATCAGATAACGGCCTTGCTGGAAGCCATCAGATAACTGGCCTTGCTGGAAGCCATCAGATAACGGCCTTGCTGGGAAGCCATCAGATAACTGGCCTTGCTGGAAGCCATCAGATAACGGCCTTGCTGGAAGCCATCAGATAACTGGCCTTGCTGGGAGCCATCAGATAACTGGCCTTGCTGGAAGCCATCACTTTACCAGTCAATGTGGCTTTAGTAAAGATAAAAGCTCATATAAAAGGGAAATGATCCCATCACTATGGGGAACCAGAGAGTAGAGGAATCTGCTAAGGAAGCTGCTCTGTTTCCTCTAGATGAAGGAAAAGGTGAAGAAGTGAGCTTCTTGAAAAGCATGTCTGATGAGGAAACATTGGGGAAGCTGCAAGGTGCAGCATCTTAAAAAGAGATAGGAAAATGGAAAAAGGCCAGGTGCACACAGGATGGAAAAGGTACTTGGCATCATGAGGATGGGAGACCGTGTGCCCCTTATTCTATGCTCCATGACACACCTCCTGTCGTCAAAGGAGGGTGGTTGATGCAATTTTGGAAATATTCTTTGCGCCAGGTATTGAGACAATGGCAAAACAATTTTGTCCGGCATGTCTGATTTGTACACAGTTTAACCCAGGAAAAAGGTGCAAACATCATCTGGTCATATCCCAAGACCCTCATACCAGTTTCAGAGGTTACATAGTTAGTCTGGCTGCAAAAAAGACAAAAGTCCATCCAGTTCAACCATAATTCAATGATCGCGCTGATATTTTTCCACTGTCTGTCAAGCTCTGCTCTCATTAGTCTCCTTGAATCTTCATGTTGTAAGCCCTTCTATCAGAACCTGGGTCCGAACCTGGGCCTTCTGCGGTGAGTGGAAAGGTTTCTTCTTGCTGAGCCACCTGGAATGCTGGACAGCTCCCTTGACAATTATTTGGACGATCCTGCCTTGACCTTGTTTGTCATGAACCTTGAACCTCTTTCTCCTCCCATGAACTTCCTGATACAAGTCTCTGCTCATTACCAACCTTGGATTTTGTTTAGCCACTGCTCCTTACACTTCTGCCTGATCCATATTTTCCTGCGACTGCTCATTACCGTTCTTGGCTTGTTCTGGACTACGCTTCTGCCTGATCCCAACCTGTGACTGCTCATTACCAACCTTGGCTTGTTCTCGACTACGCTTCTGCCTGATCCCAACCTGCGACTGCTCTTTACCGACTTGGCTCGTTCTCGACTACGCTTCTGCCTGATCCCAACCTGCGACTGCTCATTACCAACCTTGGCTTGGCCACGCTTCTGGCCACGCTTGTTCTCTGCCTGATCCCAACCTTGGTTTGTTCTCGACTACGCTTCTGCCTGATCCCAACCTTGGCTTGTTCTCGACTACGCTTCTGCCTGATCCCAACCTGCGACTGCTCATTACTGACCTTGGCTTGTTTACTGGCCACGCTTCTGCCTGATCCCAACCTTGGCTTGTTCTCGACTACGCTTCTGCCTGATCCCAACCTGCGACTGCTCGTTACCAACCTTGGCTTGTTACTCGCCACGCTTCTGCCTGATCCCAACCTGCGACTGCTTCTTATCGAGCTTGGCTTGTTCTCGACTACGTTTCTGCCTGATCCCAACCTGCGACTGCTCATTACCAACCTTGGTTTGTTTACTGACTACACTTCTGCCTGATCCCAACCTGCGACTGCTCATTACCGTTCTTGGCTTGTTCTTGACTATGCTTCTGCCTGATCCCAACCTGCGACTGCTCATTACCGACCTTGGCTTGTTCTCGACTACGCTTCTGCCTGATCCCAACCTGCGACTGCTTATCGAGCTTGGCTTGTTCTCTACCGACTACGCTTCTGCTTGATCCCAACCTGCGACTGCTCGTTACCGACCTTGGCTTGTTCTCGACTACGCTTCTGCTTGATCCCAACCTGCGACTGCTCATTACCGACCTTGGCTTGTTCTCGACTACGCTTCTGCCTGATCCCAACCTGCGACTGCTCATTACCGACCTTGGCTTGTTCTCGACTACGCTTCTGCCTGATCCCAACCAGCGACTGCTCATTACCGACCTTGGCTTGTTACGCTTCTCTGACTACGCTTTTGCCTGATCAAACCTGCGACTGCTCATTACCGACCTTGGCTTGTTCTCAACTACGCTTCTGCTTGATCCCAACCTGCAACTACTCATTACCAACCTTGGCTTGTTTCTCGACTACGCTTCTGCCTGATCCCAACCAGCGACTGCTCTCATTACCGACCTTGGCTTGTTCTTGACTACGCTTCTGCCTGATCAAACCTGCGACTGCTCAATACCGACCTTGGCTTGTTCTCAACTACGCTTCTGCTTGATCCCAACCTGCAACTACTCATTACCAACCTTGGCTTGTTCTCGACTATGCTTCTGCCTGATCCCAATCAGCGACTGCTCATTACCGACCTTGGCTTGTTCTCGACTACACTTCTGACTGATCCCAACCTGCGACTGCTCATTACCGACCTTGGCTTATTTACTGACCACGCTTCCGTTTGATCCTTATCTGCTTAATACGCTACTGGACCTCCGCTTGCTCACCTCCTGGTGGGGTGATCCTGAGGACCACGACCTGGCAAAATCCATCTCCACCATCAGGAGCTCTGGTGAACACCGGTTGGTACTTAGACTCCGCACCTCAGTTGAGCCCACTCCTCCGCCACGGTGACCTGCCTGTGTACCTATCCTGCTGGTTTCAGGTGAGCCTTTCCATTGCTATAGCAACTGGTCTTCAAGGCCAACCCTGATCGTGGCACAGACATCTTAATACCATACTGGCAGGCAGCTTTGGGAAGAGCTTCTTTGTTGTTCATATATTCACTGTATTGTCTTAAAAAGACAACTATAGCTTTTCTTTCCCGAGAGAGGGAGTGTATATATATATATATATATATATATATATAATATATATATATATATATACACACATACATACATACATACATACACACACATATATATATACATACACACACAAAATCACATATATACACATATATATATATACACACACAACATACACATACATATATACACACACACACATACACATACATATATACACACACACATACACATACAATATACACACACACATACACATACATATAATACTGTTTTTTGCTATACACATGTTTATTCCCTTTGTGTGTATTGGGACAAAACAAAAAAAAGGGAGGAAAGAAAGCAAATTCGACATAATGTCACACAAACCTCCAAAAATGGGCTGGACAAAAGTATTGGCACCCTTTCACAACTGCGGATAAATAAGAATGTTACAAGCATGTGATGCTCCTGTAAACTCACCTGGGGCAAGTAACAGGTGTGGGCAATATAGAAATCACACCTGAAAGCAGATAAAAAGGAGAGACGTTCACTTAACCTTTGCATTGTGTGTCTGTCTGTGCCACACTAAGCATGGACAACAGAAAGAGGAGACGAGAACTGTCTGAGGACCTGAGAACCAAAATTGTGGCAAAAATATCAACAATCTCAAGGTTACAAGTCCATCTCCAGAGAACTAGATTTGCCTTTGTCCACAGTGCGCAACATTATCAAGAAGTTATGCAACCCATGGCACTGTAGCTAATCTCCCTGGTCGTGGACGGATGAGGAAAATTGATGAAAGATTGCAACGCAGAATAGTCCGGATGGTGGATAAGCAGCCCCAAACATGTTCCAAAGACATTCAAGCTGTCCTGCAGGCTCAGGGAGCATCAGTGTCAGCGCGAACTATCCGTCGACATTTAAATGAAATGAAACGCTATGGCAGGAGACCCAGGAGGACCCCACTGCTGACACAGAGACATAAAAAGCAAGACTACAGTTTGCCAAAATGTACTTGAGTAAGCCAAAAGCCTTCTGGAAAACGTCTTGTGGACAGATGAGACCAAGATAGAGCTTTTCGGTAAAGCACATCATTCTACTGTTTACCGAAAACGGAATGAGGCCTACAAAGAACAAAACACAGTACCCCTACGGTAAAAATATGGTGGAGGTTCAATGATGTTTTGGGGTTGTTTTGCTGCCTCTGGCACTGGGTGCCTTGACTGTGTGCAAGGCATCATGAAATCTGAGGATTACCAAAGGATTTTGGGTCGCACTGTAGGGCCCAGTGTCAGAAAGCTGGGTTTGCGTCCAAGATCCTGGGTCTTCCAGCAGGACAATGACCCCAAACATACGTCAAAAAGCACTCAGAAATGGATGGCAAAGAAGCGCTGGAGAGTTCTGAAGTGGCCAGCAATGAGCCCAGATCTAAATCCCATTGAACACCTGTGGAGAGATCTTAAAATTGCTGTTGGGAAAAGGTGTCCTTCCAATAAGAGAGACCTGGAGCTGTTTGCAAAGGAAGAGTGGTCCAAAATTCCGGGTGAGAGGTGTCAGAAGCTTATTGATGGTTATAGGAAGCGACATCCTGATTTCAGTTATGTTTTCCAAAGGGTGTGCAACCAAATATTAAAGTTAAGGGTGCCAATACTTTTGTCCAGCCCATTTTTGGGGTTTTGTGTGACATTATGTCATTATTTGCTTTTCTGCCTCTGTTTTATATTTGTTTCCAATACATACAAAGGGAATAAACATGTGTATAGCAAAACATGTGTTAATGCAATACCTTTTTTTGTGTGAAATACTTGATTTTCAGGAAAAATATCAAGGGTGCCAACAATTTCGGCCATGACTGTATATATATATATTGTGGGAACTTGCTTCAAAGTGTGTAGAGCTTTTAAATGCACACAGCTACTCGCTTTACTCGCTTTTTTTTTGAGGCCTTTTTAGCCCACTTTTATTTAAATGAAAGTTCAAACAGAAGTTTCCCCACACAACCAATAGTTCTTTTCCAGAGAGATGCATTTATTGGGATAAAGATATTTGTTACAGATGACAGAAATCCAGCTGAAATATTTGTAAAATATTACAATGAACAATCAAAGTCCCATTCAAAGATACTTCATATCAAACATGGAGATCAGACACCGTCCAGCAAATGCCCGATCTATACTGACTGCGGCTGTCACTGGGTAACGGCTCCCATCTTCACTCCACTCTTCACTACAACAACGCATTGACTCCTCTTCATTTCAGAACAACTAGTGTAGATATATTCTTGTATGTGTAGTTCTCACCTCAAGCTGCACTCGTTTGAGGACTGTAGTCTGTGTCTGATGTGTTTGAAAACCCCCCCTATTCATGTGATCCTTAGCAGTTCCTAATTGGGGCGGAGAAGAATGCTCATTTGACCATCTACCTATAAATTCAGAACAGCTTATGGGGGGGAGATAACTGATAGGGGGGCACAGTCACTGATGGGGTGCAGCGTTTGCGTGAGTGCTGCGTTGATGGAGTGCTAAGAAGCAGTTTAAAACTCCGCTCCTCACAAGACCTCCTACTCTCTAGCTCCCTTGTCTCCTCCTCCATATGCTCCTCTCCAGGACTTCTCCAGAGAGCCTCCCCCATCCTCTGGAACTCTGTACCCCAATTTATCAGACTATCGCCTACTCTGCTCACTTTTAGGCGATCTCTGAAAACCGATCTCTTCAGGGAAGCCTCTCCTGCCCTCCGCTAATAATGGAATCTTCTACTCCTCCAACCAGCCCCCATTCCCAGTTTACTACCTTTTGTACCACTAGCCCCTCCCTCTTAGATTGTAAGCTCCCAGGATCAGGGCCCTCCTATCCCTCTTGTATGGAACTGTATTATCTCCCGTTATATTGTAAAGTGCAGAGCAAACTGTTGGCGCCATAAATCCTGTATAATAATAATTTTTGTCTCATTGACCCCATATCTCTCCATAAAGAGGACCTGTCACTAATTATGTCTCATTGACCCCCCATATCTCTCCATAAAGAGGACCTGTCACTAATTATGTCTCATTGACCCCCCCTAATCTCTCCATAAAGAGGACCCGTCACTAATTATGTCTCATTGACCCCATATCTCTCCATAAAGAGGACCTGTCACTAATTATGTCTCATTGACCCCCCCATATCTCTCCATAAAGAGGACCTGTCACTAATTATGTCTCTCATTGACCCCCCCATATCTCTCCATAAAGAGGACCTGTCACTAATTATGTCTCATTGACCCCCCCTAATCTCTCCATAAAGAGGACCCGTCGTCACTAATTATGTCTCATTGACCCCATATCTCTCCATAAAGAGGACCTGTCACTAATTATGTCTCACTGACCCCCCATATCTCTCCATAAAGAGGACCCGTCACTAATTATGTCTCATTGTCCCCCCATATCTCTCCATAAAGAGGACCGTCACTAATTATGTCTCATTGACCCCATATCTCTCCATAAAGAGGACCTGTCACTAATTATGTCTCATTGACCCCATATCTCTCCATAAAGAGTGGACCTGTCACTAATTATGTCTCATTGACCCCCCATATCTCTCCATAAAGAGGACCTGTCACTAATTATGTCTCATTGACCCCATATATCCTCCATAAAGAGGACCTGTCACTAATTATGTCTCATTGACCCCCCATATCTCTCCATAAAGAGGACCTGTCACTAATTATATCTCATTGACCCCCCCATATCTCTCCATAAAGAGGACCTGTCACTAATTATGTCTCATTGACCCCCCCATATCTCTCCATAAAGAGGACCTGTCACTAATTATGTCTCATTGACCCCATATCCCTCCATAAAGAGGACCTGTCACTAATTATGTCTCACTGACCCCCCCCATATCTCTCCATAAAGAGGACCTGTCACTAATTATGTCTCATTGACCCCCCCATATCTCCCCATAAAGAGGACCTGTCACTAATTATGTCTCATTGAGCCCCCCATATCTCTCCATAAAGAGGACCTGTCACTAATTATGTCTCATTGACCCCCAATATCTCTCCATAAAGAGGACCTGTCACTAATTATGTCTCATTGACCCCATATCTCTCCATAAAGAGGACCTGTCACTAATTATGTCTCATTGACCCCCCCCATATCTCTCCATAAAGAGGACCTGTCACTAATTTATGTCTCATTGACCCCCCCCATATCTCTCCATAAAGAGGACCTGTCACTAATTATGTCTCATTGACCCCCCATATCTCTCCATAAAGAGGACCTGTCACTAATTATGTCTCATTGACCCCCCCATATCTCTCCATAAAGAGGACCTGTCACTAATTATATCTCATTGACCCCATATCTCTCCATAAAGAGGACCTGTCACTAATTATGTCTCATTGACCCCATATCTCTCCATAAAGAGGACCTGTCACTAATTATGTCTCATTGACCCCATATCTCTCCATAAAGAGGACCTGTCACTAATTATGTCTCATTGACCCCATATCCCTCCATAAAGAGGACCTGTCACTAATTATGTCTCATTGACCCCCCCATATCTCTCCATGAAGAGGACCTGTCACTAATTATGTC